TGGCCTTGCGTCATTTTATAGAGTCATTTGAAGTAAAAGCTTCAATATAAGTATTTGGTATATATTTTACAGAGCAGTAATAGACCTGTAGTAGGATTTATGATGTTGTCCAAATTTTTAACACCATAATCGGGCATTTTTCATAAACTGCTGGATGTTTCTGCACTGGAATTATTTTCCATATTTTTGTTTGGATTATCTGGTTGTGCAATTTGACTTCCTTGTTTTTCCTCCGAACAAAGATTTTTCTCTAAATAATGTAGTAATATTGCATTTTCTTCAACTGGAAGTGAAGAGTTTTCAGTAAATTTTATGCACTTTATTCTTTTGACCTTTTTAGTTTCAGGCCTGGCCTGTATGTTAGATAGGCAGGACTCGTTTTATTGTAGCCTATGAAAGTTGCTTTTCCACATTAGTGTCAATTTCTTTTCATCTTGTATGTAGACATAAAAATCATTGCCAAGTATATACATATTACCAAGATTAGGTTTGCAATCTGTAAACATTTTGAAGACAGTTTTTCCAGTTTTTTTTTTTTTTTTAATATAACCCTGATTTCTGATATATGCAGCTGTCATAATAGTGTATGACCAAGAATTTTGGTAGTTTAGATTCAGTTAGTAGATGTCTTACTGTTTCAAATAGGGATTATCAAGACCTTTCAACAGTGACATTTTGGTGTGGAGAATATGGAACTGATTTTTCATATTTAATAGGATTATTAATTAGAAGTGTTTCAAAATTTTTAGAAATAAATTCTGTGCAGTTATTGCTACTTAGGTGTTTTATGGAGTGGCATACCAAATATTTCTTCCTAGGAAGAAACATATTTCCTTTCTGTTTCAGAAAATAAATCATGATTGGACCATGATAGCTGTCGGCAAAACAAAGTGTATATTTGAAACTATTCAACAATATTGGCTTAATCAGGCCAGCTAGTGAATTTGATGCCACTGTATTAGGCTACATGTAGCATTTTTGGAAGTTATTGCAGTATTTAAATAGTACAAGAGTACATCTCTTTTTATGTCTAATTTTACTCCATTAGTGTATACAAGTTCTGAGTAATTACGGCTGAATTTTACAGCCCCCCCCCTTTCTTTTTTGGTAGTGGCTTGTACAGAGAATATATTCTGTTTATACGTAGGGATATAAAGAGCATCATTTAAAATGAAATTTTGCATATTTTCTTGTATATCTGTTAAAGTAACTTGAGCATTGCCTGTTTTTAAGGCAATATTTCTTGTTCTACTGATATCTACCAGATTGATATGGTGATTAAAATCTGTATCAAAACTAAATTTAGATTCATCAGTAATAATGTCAGTTGTGGCTCAACAATCAACAGATAAACAATTTATGTTGGAAATGGTGTCTAGTCCAAATGAAAACAAATGACTTTTCATTTTCTGAAAAATGTTCAATATTTTTATGAAATGAGCCGCCTTTTTTTTTTTTTTTTTTTTTTTTTTTTTTTTTTTTCACTCATTACTTTTATGTCCACATTTGTGACAAATAATATTTTTTAAGTGAATTGGAATTATATCATTTTGAGGTGGGTATTGTAGTATACCTATGGACAATAATGGGTATGTCCCCTTTCCCTTGAATACTGTATATGTTGGTCTGCAGTTGGAGATTCATAGTGGAATTCACTTGACTCATTTCTAGCAGTTGACTACTACTTCTATGTGCTGCTGGCAAATCTTGTATGTGTTGTTCTTGTCCTAAGTATTATCTTTCATTACCAACCTTTGTGTAATTACTCTATTCAGTAACTGCCTCTAGGTTACAACAGTATTATTTACTGAATAATTCTGATTTTTACTTTGGCAAAGCTTTTATGGCCAGGTTTAGAACATTTAAAGCATATGGGGACATTATTAGTTTGTGGCTTTGGTCTTGGCCTTTACATTCAAAGGGCCATTACAGTATTTTCACTGTTATTCTCTTCAATCATCTTTTTGGTTTCTTCGAAGCTTCATAATGCTACTTTAAATTGACTTCCTATTTTGTCTATGTAATAACAGTTGTGAACATTTTAAATTCAGATGGAAGGCCTGATCCATAATACTTTTGCCACTTGCTTTTCATAAGGATGTTAATTCTGTATACAAGGAAATTATTTTTGCTTTTCCTTTTGGTAAGTAGTTTTCTCACAAAATTTGCAGTTTTTTTCTGCCATTGTTAGCGGCTCCTCTCTCATTTAATAAGAGCCAGACTTCTGTCATTAAGAAATTGAATTAACTCTGCAAATGTGTTTGCACTCTTTTCTCAGTACTCTTTATCATTGGAAGATCATATGGTAACTTTTAGATTCTCATGTATCTTAAAAATTTAATTCTTATAATTCATATTTAGATTTGTCATTGTTAAAACTGTCTATTTCTGGGCCAGTAACCTGTAGAGTAATTAAGTAATTTGTAAAAATGTCCAACAAATGTAATTGACAAAGTTTCTAATAAACAGTAGCAAATGAAAGAAATAGAACAGGGCAAAATAATGCTAAACAATCAATATATATGGAAACTAGGTAGAGTAACAATAATAAGGCAAAGTTCACAAAGTAAGAATGGTGTTAACATGCAAAAGGGATACAGTCAAGTGATTGTAGTATTCTGACTTCAAGACAAAACAAAAAATGTGGCAGATGAGACTGAGAAGTTGTCCATTTTATTGGTTAGGAAGTAATCCCAGCATACATCTGTAAGATTTGCCTGTAAATTTGGGGAAGGGATGTTTTTAGCAGTCATTCTCACAAATTGGAACCAGCAGAGCATCTCTGAACACCTGATGTTGAACCTTGAAGTAGATGAGCTACATCAGTAGAAGACCATGCCAGATGTCACACTTGTCAGATAGAATAAAAAAATGATGACTACAATTTGCTAAGTATCACAAAATTTATACAATAGAAGATTTGAAAAAGCTTGGCTACTCTGATGAGTGTCAATTTCTGCTGTGGCGTTTGGATGATAATGCCATAATTTGGCATAAACAATATGAAAGTCATGGATCTATCTTACCTTGTCTCAATGGTTGGACTGGTGGGGGGTATAATGCTATGAGGGAATATTTTTTTTTTGCATACATTGAAACTCTTGGTACTGATAAAAGATTGTTTAACAATATCTAGGTATTGTGACTGGCCACATCCCTCAATTTATGACTATGGTGCATCCATTCTCTGTTGACTATTTCCAGTAAGACACAAATCAGGAATAGTAAGAGACTGGTTCCTGGAACATGGCAATGAGTTTTAAGTTACTCCTAAGTTAGTCACTGGATATCAATTGCATTTGGGATGTGGTAGAAAGGGACATTCAAATAATGGATGTGCAACCAACCAAGTTAAAAAAAAAAAATTGCTGGATGCTATAACAACAGAGACCCAAATTTTGAAAGAGCTTCAAAAATACTGTTAAATATATCAGTAACATATATCAAAATACTTAAAATTGCTAGAATTTAATGTATTTCAAGGTAAGACTTTTTTTTTGTCAAGAATATATGTCTGATGGTGAACTCGAGCAGTAATAATCAAAAAATTAAGAAGGTTCAATTGACCCATCGTTCAACCAACTTCAAATTTTCACATACACAACATTCATCTGATTTATTTGACCTTGACTAGCATTGTGTATGAAACTTTAAAGTCAATCAAAAGTTAAGTCAATTGAACTGTCTTTATTTTGTGTGTGAGTGAGAGAGAGATAAAAATCACATTGCTGACTTGGAAATGTAGGAATTGACTGATAATACCATTTATGGGAGATTGAAGTTCCATTCTTTGTGATTATTTTTAGATATTGTTTTAAAAATTTATTAGATTTATTTTTTTTATTTTTGTACTTATGTTGATTTTAATTCAACTTCATATATTATCCATATCATTTACTTTTTGTTTGAGGTTCTGCTTTTGTTTTATTTTTTTTTTAACATAAACAATTTTCATATTAATATTTGTAATGAAAGTTTTGTCGTCTTCCCCAAGGCTAAAATGATGTATTACCTCAATCCGAAACCCAAATGACTAAAACACATTAATTTCTGATCATAATGGTTAATAAAAATGCAATGTTGATTATCCTAAATTAAGCTTTAGTAACTTGACATTTATTAAATTTTTGTATTGTCTAACACTCCAAGTTGACAATCAATTAAAAAGAATAACAGTGTGATAAACAAATTCAAAAGATGACAGTATGCTTATTAATATGAATGTTAAAAATTAAAAAAATCAGTATTCATAGTTTTACAAATTTTTCAATATTTCATTAATTGCACATATCACTGAATGAATTACTGTAAAGATGCTAGTCAAATTAAAAGTTAGACCTATTGTAATTAATAACAGTTGAACAACACCATCTCCTTCAGTGGTCAGCTAAATTTGTACTCGTCACTTCCTAAAGAGGGTAAGTTGGTTGGATTCTTGTTCTGGGTGTAGTTAGCACCAAAACAGATTATCCTTGGGTTCTTTGCTTAGAAGGAATATTCATTTCAAATTAATATTATTTTTTTTATTTTATTTTACAACTGAAAGTACATTCAGGGACACCTAGCCATGTGCGACATGGCACTGCAAATACCCCAATATTATGTGACTGTTGACCAGAGGAGTCTCTCTAAGTGTTACCAAAGAGTTTGGGCTCCTTACTATCAGTCAGGATGCAGCAACCAGAAATCCTCAAAGTAAAAAGTCACACTACTGATCAGTCAGACCACCAAAAACTTAAGACATTTAAACAATCAAACTATGAAAGAAAAGAACTGGAAAACAACATCTTAAATAGAAAACGAGAAATAAACCTATTTTGGTTCAATAACTATGGAAGGATTATGGGCTGGGTGATATAAATATCAGTGTAAAGAACCTCAACTTGGTATGTAGGAAAGACCGGAAGTTTCTTTCAAGCATTGAGTTAAATTCAGAATTTCTTAATTGACATTTCTAAAATCTTACCTGTTCTATTTAATTTTTGATCCACTCCTCTAAAATGTTATCTCTCTCTATCTCTCTCTATCTCTATCTCTCTCTCTCTCTCTCTCTCTCTCTCTCTCTATCTCTCTCTCTATCTCTCTCTCTCTCTCTCTATATCTCTCTCTCTCTATATCTCTCTCTCTATATCTCTCTCTCTATATCTCTCTCTATATCTCTATCTCTCTCTCTATATCTCTCTATATCTCTCTCTCTCTCTCTATATCTCTCTCTCTCTCTCTCTATATCTCTCTCTCTATCTCTATATCTCTCTCTCTATCTCTATATCTCTCTCTCTATCATAGAGGATGTTTGTGGGATACCTTTTCACTCAAGATCCATCCAACTGATTTTGACCAAACTTGGCACATACAATGTAAGAGATATGTTTTTAGTGTAAAAAGAAAAAAATTGATAATTTTAAAAAAATCAAAAATTGGCTTTTTTCCTCCTATTTTGTTCAAAATTGGTATATAGGTTACTTACATCATGACGAGCTCAATGATACCTGCAATTAGCAAAAAAATGCGACAAATAAAAAATCTATTTCAACGCAAATTTTAAGCTAAAAACTCCCTCACTTTTCAAGCAATTTAATACAAACTTCACTCAATTGTAGCCAACAATAAGTTGATTGTTTAACAGTCATTTAACTTGATAATTGAGTCTACCCATCTAGTGAAAACCTGCGTAAATAGCGGAAAATGGCTATTTTTACTGTTTTCTTTCTTATTTGTCATTGATCTTTCAACCAATTTTCATCAAACTTAATTGCTTTATAAATGTATCCCCTTTTGCATCCCTGGTAGCACACTGAGAAATTGAATTTCAAAAACTCCAAAATAATTGTGGTCTGAAGTGGGTCTTCATGTTGCCTGTTTTACCCCTTAATGTCCTCGTCTAACTTTGATTGAATAAATATAGACTACTTCTGTTATATCAGTAACTGCATTAATTCAAAATGTTTTTTTAATGAAAGTACTTTAAAGTAATTGAAGAAGATAGATTCTTACATTTTAACATCATGCTGTTTTTGCTCTATTCTAATTGAACATTTTTTCTGATTGACTAGCTGGGTATGGCTGCTAGTTCTCAATAACAAACACAAGTTTTGAAAACTGCATTTTCAAACCTTTTAAAGCAGATGAGTTTAAAAATTCTTTTTTAGGAATTGTCTATTTTTGATGAAGAAGAATTTCAGTAACTGCTAATATTATTTGCTTTTTATATTTTCTTGGGTTATATAATAAACCCTTTTTTTTTTTTTTTTTTAGTGTCTAAATGTGGCTCAAAAAATGGAAGGTAATTAATTTTTATAGAATTAACTTGTAGCTGAGATAATTTAGTTAAAGCAGAACTTAATGCTGAAAATTAATTTTTGAAATCCTATTGTTTTCATGATTAATCAAAGCCATTTTTTTCCTTCTTGGAGCATGGCTTTGTTGGTATCATTGTACATAAAGAAGTTTTTCAAATACAAACAAAAAATCACTTAGTTCTATGCACCGAAGTTATATGAAGTTTATATTCAACAGGTCATGAGTTTTTGTGGAAAATTTTTTTTTTTTTTTTTTTACTTGATACAATCTGAACTAATTTAAAGAGAGCTAACTTGACAAACTCCTTTTAATTATACTCTACCTCATTATAATCAGTATTTTCTGTTTAAAAGTAATTAGGTTAATTGCTTATATCTCTTTAATTTCAAAGAAAGGAAGCAACTGTAATTTTTTGTTGCTAGATTCTATGCAAGATTTAAAATTGAAGAATAAATTTTTTTCTTTCTCAGTGACAAGGATTTAAATTTCCGGTTGGCATAAAGTTTATTTTTATCATGTAAAATATCAAATACCTACCTTGATTTGATGCTAATAAATCAATGTGTCTCAAAATTACAGCTATATTGCAAAATGATTTTTTGTTGCTTATTTTTCAATATAAACATTTTTCTTTTCTATATGAAAGGTGGTTGCATTTAATATATTCAGTTGAATAATGTACTTCAGTATGATACAAGTTTATTTTATGTTATGCATGTTAATCAAATTTCAAGTTACAAATGTTTTTTTTACAGTAAAGGAATTAATCCTTGAATTTAGAACTGAAATTTTCAAGCAATATTTTATTTTTACATAGCAATAGGTATAAACTTGGGCAATGTGTTGAACAAAAGATAAATTTGTTTCTAAGTGCTTGACTATAAATTGGGAGGTATTCCTTTACTAATTTTGATTGTTTAATTTGTAATTTTAGATTGGTGACATAATTATTTTTCTTTTTTAGGTCACTCATATTTTTTCTTTATTTTTATTTTTTATTTTCATACCCATTAAGTGTCTCAGAATTTACAATCTAGGTTTGAAGATAGCTTTTCTATTTCAGTTAGTTATGTGCCATGTGTAATACATGCTTAGGTGATCATATATCTTTCGATATGACTGATGAGGCAGATTTTTCCTGCAGTAGGTTACCATTTCTTTCTGTGATAGGCCAGTTGCCATCCAAGACTATAGAACCCGGTCTGTCCTGCTATTTACCTATAGCTGGGTGGGGGAGAAAAAGGATTCGTACCTTTCCCAAGGGTATTAGCACATAAGTGAATATAATGCATCTGATTGGAATTTGAACTCGGCTCTCTGATTTCTCAATCTGTGTTGCTATCCATTACTCCACCGTGACTCTCTAAGAATTTATTTATAGGGTAAAAAATTGCCTTGTTAGGCTCTTATGTTTGTTTCTAAGGTTGGAGTTGACAGCTTGACAAGTAACAAAAAAAAATGTCAGCTCAAAAGAGAATGAAATTCAAGACTGTTTTAACAATTTGTATATTGGTCACCTTTTTTTCTTCTTTAATATTATGAATGATTATAACTTTTGTGAAGGGTTTTTGTGTGTTATCTTTTGTTGTGTGTCAGTGTGGATATATTAGTTCTAATTTTTTTTTTATAATTTTAACTATTTAAAGAATTAAGGAATGTTATTGTTTGTATGAAGTAAACATGTCTAATTGATGTTTTATTTCACTCTTGTGATCTGATCATTTATCATTGATTTAAAAGCAGTTTGAACTTTCCTCAGATCCCAAATTGAAATTCTCAAAGTTTTTAATTGAAAAGCTTCAATGAACAATAGAACTTTATTCTATTCTCCTCTTTTCATTATAATGCTTTCATTTTGCTTCTCTCTGTCAAAATTAGGCTTGTGCTCTTCTGGCCTATTGCAAAGATGTTAAAGAGGCATGTGAGTTTTAGTTTTTCTAAGCTACAAAGTGGTCAAAAAGTCTTGTCACCCCATAGCAAAATGTAATGAGAACATTAGAAGAACAAGTAATACAAAGCACATGTACTGGATTCAGTTTATTCACTTTCATTGATACTGTCACACATTGAGAAGTTCTGTATGGGCACCATCATTTTTGCGGCACAAAATGATGCTGCGCAATGTCCTGTGTGATATTTTATAAAGTTGTGCTTTGTTGATTGTTGTAAAGGCTCTCTGAGTGGTGTAAATTAAACACAAAAGAAAAAAAAATACCAGAATTTCTTTTTTGCCTGTATATCCTTTCACTTGAAAAAGAAATCAACCTTATCATTGTCTTGGATTATAATATCAACTGCTTATCAATTGTTATATGAAAAGAAGAGTGTCTCTACATTTATTAACAAGTATTTGGCAACAGAAAGAATTCTTGATTTCTTAAAGTACTGGATAGTTCTAGAATTTGGCAACAACTCTTAGTCTATAAATTAACCGAATTATATACACAAGGGTAAAGAATATGATAACTGAAAATTCCATGTTATTGGATTAGAATTGTTAGACGTTTTTAGTGTGGAAATCTTTTTACACTTCATTTTAAATGTTGATTACTTTAATTTGAACTTATTGACTACTTTAATTAAAAAGTTTTATGGATTAAATATATTTAAAAATATTACTAGTTCAGTAATTAGTTGTTCAGCTGAGAACAATCATGTCCTTAATAATATAGCACTGCTGCTTTGAAGGTTTGATATCTCAAACTAAGCCGAACTCTATTGGAAAGTCCCTTGAAGTTATAATTATAATTTCCTGTTGGTGTTATTTTCTTTTATAATATTCAATATATTAATATTGCTCTATTAAAAATAATCTCTTTTTGGGATTTTAAATTATTTTTCAACAAAGTTTAACTGAAATTGTGTGATGGTATAAGTAGACAGTTTGATTCTGGTCTGCCTGTCAGGCTTTGGGTTTTCCTTCTTTGCCATTTCACCTCTGACTGTTGGGCAAATGTCATTTTGAACTTCAGAGACCTTTCTGCACTGCTTGCCTCCATGATGATCATTTGATGGTTATTGCTTCTCACATATCTGAGTAGATGTCTAGTCCTCAGATCTCTTTTTTAAAGATCTCTTTGCAGCATTGGGGTCTGCCTACTAGAGTTGGTCAGTTTGGCAATTTATGTTTCGATATCGGTTTCCGTTTTTTTATTCTTTGATATTGCAGTTTTTGATTCGGTTTCAGTTTTTAATTTACTATTTTTGCTTTCTAAGGAAGTCATTCATTTTTTTTGTGTAATGATAGCATTTCCAGTCAATATCTGATTTCATTTGAGATTGATAAATTTGCAACTTAGTCCATTTAACTTGCAATATCTTATGTATTTTTGGTCCAATCATAAAAATATTCATATGGCTGGAAAGAAAAGAAAATAATCTTTCTAAATATGTGATTTGTATGTTTTCATTCATTGAATTATTTTTTACAGTGAGTTAAAATGGTATTGTCTCGACCAGCTAAAAATGCGAAATATAATTTTTTTTTTTTTTTTTTTTTTGAGACTAAATTTGTTATTCTGTTTTGCAAAATCAAAGTGACCAATCTTTATCAATATTCTTGAAATTGTGCACTCAATTAGAAAACACCTTAAACTACAACCAGGAAGATTTTCATTTCTTCTCTGACCTGTGGAAGCAAATTCTCCTTCAAAAATTATAAAGTAAACAAAAAAAAAAAAAATGACAATATTTTTCTGGTATGCCAGTCAACTATCATTGGGGTTTTGTAAATAAATTTCTTCTAAACAAAGCAAATCAATGAGTTATTTTTCCCCTAAATAAATTTTTTTTCATCTAGCAAATACACCTAAAATTAAATATTAAAAATAATTAAAAACTTTTAATTTCATTTTTAGAATGTGTAGATTTCCTAATCTGCATGTATTACCTGTTCTTTTTTAGACACACATTTTAAAATTGAAATTAAAAACTATTTTAATAATTTTACTATAATCTTACTTAAGTGTATTATTCACCAGATAAAACAATAACGATATATTCGTAAAAATAAAATGAATTGATTTTCCTTGTTTAGAAGAATTTTTATAGGCACAACAGTAACAAACATCCACTGAACACTAGTGGATAAAAAAGAATTTTTACTTAAAAAAAAAATGACTTGCAGTTTTGAAAATATACACATTTTAAAACTGAGATTAAAACTTAGTTTATTTTTTTGATATCTAATTTCAGGTGTATTTGCTAGATAGAAACATAATTTTATTTGTAGAAAACAAAGACTCGCATATCTGGAAATATACACATTTTAAATGTGAAATTAAGAACTATTTTAATTATTCTTAATATCTAATTTAGGTACATTCCCTAGATAAAAAAAAAACAAATTTATTCAGAAAAAAAATCTTCATTCGTTTTTCTTGTTTACAATAACCTTATTTCATGATTGGCGTAACACTGGCTTACTAGAAAACAATTACCCTTGCTTGCCTTACAAAAAATTTGACTTCATAAAATTTAACATTAAGATAGAATTGACAACTATTTTTATTTTATTTTTACTGCTATTTTTATGTTAACTTAATTTTACCACAAAAAGTGTATATTTATTTCCTAAAACTAGTCAAATGTTTTTAACATATTTTCTGCAATCTTTTTCTCTTACAATGGTATAAAGTGGTTAATTTTATTAACATCTGAAAGTCTTTTTCAATAGTGTTTCTTTGGATATGGCCACTCAGTAGTGATAGCATTAAACCGAATGATTTTGGTTTCGTAAAAATTTTGATGTGTGATGATGAAATTGAAAAAAGTTGGTTTTTCAGTTAAATTGCACATCTCTACTGGCTACATACAGTAGGTCCATGGGGGAATTTGAATGTTATCCATTCATATGGGTTGTCAAAAAGCCAGTGCAAATGTCTTTGCTTTAAGCAGGTATACTTGCTAGGAATCCCTTCTTTCTTGAGGACAGTGTTGTTTGGAACTTTGCCTTATCAAGAGATATTCAGGATGTGTTGAAGGTAATGCATGTGAAAGGCATGCTTTGGTTCTTGTCTCACATGCAGTATCGAAGTTTTACTGCCATGCAAGTAGGTATTTATTACACAAGCTTTGTAGGCTTAAATGATACAAATAGTTTGTGTATTGATAAGAAATATTTTTTTCTGTTGACATCTATATGGATCATGTATTAATCTGTGGTTTTTGTAACAAGATTATTACTAATTTGAAGTTCTTAGATGAAATGGTCAATTATTAATAATTTTCTGTTAAGTCTACTGACTGCTGTCATTTAAATATAACCATAGTCATTCTTGACTCGTGCCTGATATGCGATCTCTGAAATTGGGATGAAAGAAATGCTAATCAATAATTATTAATAATTGTCGCAACCATGTATCAGTACAGATGCAGAAGCTCTGAGTTGTGTACGGACATGTCACATTTGTGTTTCTCTGAACACAGCAGAACAGTTAGGCATATCCTGATATGAGCCTTTGTGAACCATCTTATGTTAATAAAAGCAACAGGAAAACCAGTGGTGGTTAGTTTGCTTTTGGTGGTGAGATTGTGTGTGTTGTAAGGATCTTCCTTTGGCACATTTTGTTTCAGAAGTTATATACCATACTGTGGTTTTGGAGGCAGTGGTCTCACTCCTCATTATTCATTTTCTTTTTATTTCTTCCTGTCTCTCTCCCTCCTCTGTGTGCTCTCCCTTAATTAAGAGAGCAATCTGTTACCTGTTAAATGTTTCCCTCAAACTCAACACACCTTTGCCTTATTTTCTATATTAAGATTATTACATGTCAACTAATTTTGAATCTCTTTTTTGTTTTTTGTTTTTTTTCCCTTCCAGAATGTCTAGTTATGTTGGGTGTATTGTCTCTTTGGACTGCGGGGACACATTGGGCAATTATCAAGGACAAGTCAAGTCTGTTAATGATAACAGCCAAACAATCACAATTGATAAATGCTATCGAAATGGTATTGCATATGAATTACCAGAGATTACAGTCAAGTGAGTATATTTATTCTTAAATAATTGTTAATAGTTTCCTTGATTCAGTTTTCCCTAATTTTTGGAACCAAGAATTTGCTTTTAATTTTCAGTCATATAAAAAATACCTATGTTGTAGAGAATTTTGGAGAATCTGCTTTCTGTTTGTTTTCCTTTTAAAGTACAAATGAAATATTTTAAATATCTACATGAGTATTTACTATGCTTATTTTGGTACAAGACCACAAATTTGGAGAACCCAGAAAGGATTAGCCTCGCTCTACAATGTTGAAGAAAAAAAAACAGAGAGCACCTAGCATCTTGGAGGTATTGCTTTATCTTTCTGGCTGCAATATCCTTTTCACAATCAAATGCTTTTAAATTCTGTTTTCATCTCATGGTTGCCACAGTTACACTGTCTCTTTGTCAGTTATGTACATCTCATCCAACTGAGTTCATTTCTACCAATAGAGGATGCAGAAACCATCTAGTGCTGTGGTTTCCTCTTTTTTTTTTTTTTTTTTTTTTCTCTGGGCCACATTTTTGGAATGAAGATTTACTCGCACCTCACCAAATCTTATGTGATAAAAAGTACATTTAAAAATAAAAAAAAAACGGTGAGATAACTGCATATTCAAAGTAGGAACATCATTGATAACTCTCTCCTTCAATTAGCGGACCCTTGTTACTATATTTTTAATACTTGATATAATGCAGAAATACCACAATGATAAAATCTGTCAATAATTATTTAGAACTATTTATACTGGGACTAATGCATGTAACTACAGGTAATCCATAATAATATTTTAAATTTTGAAATCATATTTATTTTTTGCATATGAATTTTTGAAAACAGTTTCTAAATCTTTGATTGTCTTTCAATCATTCTGGCTCGCATGCTATCCTCTTCCGTTGCACATATGAGGTGTACACCATTTGGAAACCACTGATCTAATTTAATAATGTTTCTAATTTTTTGCACTTTAGTTTAAGAAAGCAATTTGAGATTTGCTATGAATGTGTGTGTCTTTATTTTTGTAGAGAGAGTAAGAGGCACAGCTTTTGCTGATATGTAGGAAAGATTATGATTAACCATAGGCTTGAACTGGTTAAGATTGTAGTGTTCGTCAAAGCATCCTATTGAGTCAATTCCACAAGGCAATGCTTCATGGGAAGAACCTGCTCGAATAGAACTTAATCTTACCAAAGGAATACGATAGGAATGACAGTGATTTACTACAATATGTGTGGCATGGCAGGTCTTAGCTGTACAGGTTAGGACTGGTGCAACTAAGGAGTGTAGTTCATCTATGGAAATTGCTTGCAATGTCTTGTCTGTGAGAAAGATGTTGTAAAGTGGAAAATAATTTGTCACTCCCAATGACGCAGTGAAACCATTGAACTCTATCGAGAGTGGAAAGCGAATAGACTGTGCAGCTCCTGCCCATATATGAGAGCAGTACTTTACTTTTGGCCTGATGTTATTCTTGTAAAGGTAGAGAATATCAGGAGGAGCCAGGTACTTGCTGGAGAGGTACAGGAAACCAACTTTTTTTTCCCCCTTTCGGCATCTTTTAGTGATGGATCATATGCATAAGCTCTGCTTGAGACCTGGGCTGAGTTTGTCCCAATAGGCACTCAAGTTAAAGACCTCTTTCAGGGGACATCTGTTCACCACAGTGAACTTTCTACAGCTATAAAGCATGAGAAATTTGTTTTCAAGGTTTTGATTTAATTTTCCACAAATAAATATTAGTAAAAAAAGGGTAACCAGTTTTATAATATTATAGAGTTTTGCACATAGTATATACTACAACATGTATTTTTCTTCTTAATGCCTGTTATTGATAGTTTACAAATGTTATAAATCACAGAATTCCACAAAAATATGTTAGCTAATTATCTTAACACAAATGCAGATAAAAAATGTCTTTCAATTGATATTTTATATTGGTATTAACTCATTTCCTGTTTCTTAAGTTTCTGTCAATGCCACGCAATCAAATCATTGTTATGTGATATGTTGTCGATGATGCTGGCTTAATATCTTTTGGAAAAATGTTTGTTGTAAATTTCTTCCTGTCACTCCTACCAAGAGGGATGGAGTAAAAATAACATCAGATATTAGTTTTTTTGTTTTGTTTTGATGATTGTCTAAAAGATACAGGAGCTTATAGCCACATCACTTTGAAACCTGGGTTCCCATACAATCACTGAAGTTAAGCAATGTTGAGCCTGGTCAGTACCTAGATGGGTGACCACTTGGGAATACCAGGTGGTGTAATGGATAATGCTGTGGAATTGATAATCAGAGAGCCAAGTTCCAATTTCTGTTGGGTTTGTCATATTCACTTACATGCAAAGACTTTTGGGAAATGTATGAATCGTCTCTTTCCCCCCAGCTTTGGGTTAATTAGTAAGACTTGTATCATTTTAAAAATTAAAAAAAAAAATTCTTGCAATCTAAAAACATTTTCTGGCTTTAAATAACCTACAAAGGGTTGATAAGCTATAGCAAATGAATCAATGAATCAAGCAAAAGATATACAGTTGGCATAATGTTTAACAGTAGAAAAAATAAAATCTTGGAGCTGAATTCAAATTCTGGTTGAGGTTGTTTACTTCCTATTGATACCTTGATTTGACCTCTCTATGGGTCATGTCAGCTATTCCTACTGTTGGTACCATATAACCTATTACATGAGTACAAGATGGGTACTGTCAAATAACCTTGATTACCCTGAAAAATCTTGCATGGTAATTTGATGATCTATTAGATTATAGAAGTGAGGAGGGGGCAGCTCTCTCCACCTTCAGTATTTAGAAATGAAGAGAAAAGAGATTTTTATTTATTTATTTATTTTTTTACCAACAATCTCTATTATAAATATTACTTTGTAAGTGAAACCACTGTTTGATCTGGTATGCTCAGCCACAGAAAGTGTCAGAGCCTGGCAAGGTTCTTTTAAGGAATATATACTTCCTTGTTCAGTTATTTTTGAAAACCCATATTGGCTCAGTTTTATATCTGATATGTAAACAGCAATTTCTAAATAATGAATTTTATTTTTAATCTGACATTTTTATTATTTCAAGTGTTACTTTTAGCAGATATCCATGTTTGAAATAGGTGCACTGTCTGATAGACATAATACACAGTCTAGGAATAGGACTGTCAGATTAAAAATAAAATCCATTTTATTTTTTTAGAAACACACACACACACACATATATATATATATATATATATATATATATAATTGATAGTTTAATTTCTAGGTAATTAGTATTTTGATGATAGAACTATTTCTAAAGATTTTTAAATGTATAAAATGTTAACTGTGTTAGCTAAAATTTAAAAAAATCTAATCTTGTGCCTTTCTCTATAAAGCTGTTATCCATTCATCAAGAATAAACATTTCTTTTTTATTCAGATTAATATGTTCAAAGCAATCATGACAATGTCTATTATTTTTCTTCAAATATAATTATGAACTTTAGTCAAAAATGTGTATATGAGAAAAAGAGACAAATGATTATAAGGAAGTTTCTGACTTTTCACCCATTTTGGTGATATCTATTTTAGATGTATATCCTTCTAGTTTTTATTATTCCTTGCAAAGTTATGGTTTAATTTTTCTGTAAACCAACCTACTCTATTGTTTAACTCCTATTAATATAGAAAACAAAACTGGAGTCTTAAAACCCATCTGATTTTATAAAAACTGGTGCTCCCCCCCCCCCCACTTATGTCTATGGTAGATAAATTACTCATCTCAACCATTCAGTTTTCAGCACTATAAACTAAATTCCAAAGGATGATTTGTTTCAATTTTACCTACAAGTGCAAGTCAATATACATTTTTAATCTCCAAAGTATTTCATGTTTAATACATTTCCATATTTTGTAAAGTTTATATTGTATCATCAAATTGGATTAAGTCCTTTTGAATAAGTTAATTAAAATACAGTCCACTAGAAAATTAATTATTGATATATAATTTTCACAAAGTAATTGTGCATTCTTAAATTAGCATTTATAATTGTATGCCTCTGTAAAATAAGGTGCAATTATAACACCAATATTTTTTTTTCTACCAAATAATAAAAATAATAATAAACACTTGTAAGCCACTTAATCTACAAAGTTTTTGGTACATCACACTATTTCAAAGAGAGGGGAGCTTAAAAAAAAACAAAAAAACAAAGATTCACAATTCATTATATATATACGCTAGCTGAGGTACTCAGCATTGTCTGGGTGTACATGGCTGCAATTGTATAACCGCGCATCACTGTCTAGAAATGTCTATCTGTGTCCCCCGCTTGCATACATCATCCATTGGTATACTAAGCTACTCCCCCCCTCTGTTTTTTTTGTGGTATGTCCTTTGCAAGTGTTTGATTTTTCTCTATAAAGGAATTCCATTGATAAAACCTTCTTGTGTATTGCTCAGGGTTAAATTGTTTCAATGTTTTAGATATTCAGTAAATTTCTTATGACCGTAATAACTTTGAAATAGTATGGCATTGTTCACAAATCTAATAATCAAACAAAAGCAGGGATGACATGTCAGAGCTTGATTCAAGTGCAAGCGCATGAATGTGCCCCTCCTTTGCACATTTACTGTAAAACTGGGGTTAATAAGAGGTTCTTTGGGAATTTTTCTGTTTTAATGCTTCAATAATCCTTCTCAAACTATCTTTACATCAAAGGTTGTTCGAATGCCAATTTAGGATGGAATCATATGAAGAAAATCTTGGCTAAATGGCAAAAGCTGATTTTGGACCTAGTTTCACAGATTTTGTCCACTAAACCAAAGATTCGCACAAGATGATTTGTGTGTCATGTAATTTACATGGCAAATTTGGAAAGCATTGGACGTAAAACCAGGGAGTTATGCCTCAAAAACTTTTTTTTTTTTAAATAAAAAATATATTCATTTGTGCATTTTTGGGAAATTGAGAAATTTTTGTTTTTTACACTAATATGCTTTGGGAAGACATTAATACCCTTCTTCTTATGATCTGTCTTATTGCTTGATATCTTGTCTCATCATTGTCATGTCACTGTGTTTGGCACAAAAAAAAAAAACTTATGTACCGTAGCAGCAAACTGATATTATCACCATTGTCAACCTTAAAAGTAATCAAGATTGTTAAATCATAAAACTCAAAATTGTGTGCAGACTGGTTTTCTCTACACTTCCAAGATATTGTAACCAAGTCTCAGGATATCAGAATAATATTGGAAATATGCCATCATTCCTAAAACTTGACAAATTTAAATATTTTGTTCATATAAAGTAAATAAACTTTGTTATAAAACTCACCTTGTTTTTTTTCTTAAGAGAAAAAAAATGTGATTTTTGCAACTGGCTTTACAGAAATGGTACAATGTATAATTGCTTTTTACATTGGTAATTATTTTGTTTTTCTTAGTGCCAGGGATATCAGAGAACTGTCCATTATTAAATCAGCTGAAGATGCCCAAGACATTATTTCAATTCAGTCAACTCCTTCAAAATTCACTAAAGAGCAAATGGAAGCTATTTGTGGTGGAACAGCCTCTCCCGTTAAAGTGGTGAGCTGTTCAGATTACTGTTATAATCAGACACGAACCCCTTCCAAAGAGAAAAACTCTTACTGGACCAATAACAGCAGCAACCATAGACGTACACCCACCAATAAAGATGAGCAGATGAAACAACGACGGAATTCAGGTAAGTCTTTAGAGATATTTGAATGTTGCCTTTAGAAAATTAAATAATTTTCTTCATTGTTTATTTTCTATTGCTTAAAAAGACATCAAGTAATAACCAAAAAGCTGTTTTTGAGTTGGGCATATTCTTTTTATGAAACCAAATGTAGACTAGTTCAGTGCAAATTTCTCTGATTTGTGACCATCTGAAATCTGAGCAATTACTGTTGGCAATTCATTTTTTGGTGGATCTTATATTTTATTTCTTGTTTTTATTCTTATAAAAATTGTTTTTCTTGTCCCATTTTCTTCTTGGTATCTTAAAGATTGTTGTACAGTTGCCAGTTAAACAGCTTGTTAGAATTCGAGTGCTTAAACCTGAAAATGGATATCTTTCCCTCTTGAAGAACCTTATTTGTCTTGCTCTAAAATGTGAGGGAGGGAAGGAAGGAGAGTAAGTGACAGACAACAGACCTGGGGTGGAAGTTTGCATTTGCAATTTAGTCAACTGAAGCTTCTTGGAATGAATGGTTTAGTGTCTTTGAGAAAATTGAACTGAAGATTTATAACCAATCTATGTAAGGGACTTGCTCTATCCTTTTATATTTTTCTATACTAAACTGTTTATCAGGATTGTCATTTAAAAAAAAAACAAAAAAAAAAACAAGAGACTCTTAGATTTGGTCAATACAGTAAGTTTAATTCCAAAACATTGTTGGCACAGTTCATTTTTATTTTTTAAGTTTAACTCTTGGTTTCTTAATTTTTGTTATGAGATATATTGAGAGATTTGATATTTATACACGTGTATGTATATATATATATATATATATCTCCTGGCAAGTGAACATAACAATTACTGGAGGGTTTGTCCAATGCCCATGAAACTCTAGATTCAAGATGCTGAAAATAACATCAATCTTGTGCCAAATTTTATATTTATATTAATCATATATATATATATATATATACACACACACACACACACACAAACTCTAAGTTCTATAACTTTATAACATTTTCTCCTCTCGTACTCCTCACTTGTGGAACTCCCTTCTGGCTTTTAGCTTCCCAGTCAACTTTGATCTTCAAAACTTTAAATGCAATATCAATCATTTTCTTCTGTCTTAATTCCTGTTTTTATTTTTTCTTCTCCTGACTATTTTTTTTTTTTTTTTTTATACTCCCACACTCAGTCACACCTTGCATGAAATGATTAAAAAAAAATTATCTGACTGTCTTATAAATGTTTGATATTCTTCACTTTTCCAAAATATTTCAATATTAGAAAATGGATTTAAAAATTGTTTAGTCAACCAATGTTCAAAGGAAATTGTATTTGTCATTAGGTTTGATTAGGGATGAGTTGAATTTAAATGAACATTTTCAGTTTACATATTTTGTTTCTTGCATGGAAATCTTTTGAAAAACAATTACTTTATATTAGGAACCTCCACAAAAGATGTGATACCTAAGGTTTAAAATCTTTCTTGAAGCTTTTATTTTTGTTTGAATTTCAAGTTAATAAATTTAATATTTCTAATAAGCATAATACTTTACTGTATTTTAAAAGCTAATTTAACTTGACTGGAAAGAATTTTTTTATTTTTTTTTTATTTTTTTTTTATTTTTTTATTTTTTTGCTAAAATAGCTGATTAACACCAATTTTTAGTTGTCTTTCATTGCAATATAACTCTCTATTAAAAAATCTTCTAAAAATAAAATATACCTTTTTGAAACTTTATTAGCGGATTTAAATTATAATTAATCTGCTTTAAAACAAATAAATTTTTAAGTTTAAAATATTGCAGAAATGCTTTTTTAACTGACAATAGCCATGTGGACGTGTTTGACAAGATGATGACAGATCTAATCTTGTTCTATGGAGACTTTATCTGTAAAACAATTTAAGAAAATGACATGAGCACATTTTTTATTTAATTTTTAAGTACTTGGTAATCTTAAAAAATTAGGAAAATATTCTCCGTAATCTAATGTTTTATTGAATTTTAGAAATTTTGGCTTTAAATTTACTATAGTCATTGCTCTTATTTTCTGATAATTCAGTGTATGGTTGATGTACTTACAAAAAATGGCACGTTTATACACTAATAAAAATAATTTGAAAATTATTTGAAATTATTTTTAAAATTGGTATTTAATGATTTGTATTAAGCTTTTTCATTTATGATGAGTAAATATAGTTTTCATTTAATATTATCAAAACTGAAATTTAATATAGAATTTTAAAATTTAAAATTTATTTTCTAATTAGAATTTTTAAAGAATGAAAACAATTCTTGTAGAAATACATAATTAATTGAAAAAATTTTTTTTCTTAAGACACTAGTGTTCTTAATGTTATTTATAAAAGCAATTAAAAGCTTTTCTAATTAAATAATGTCATACGTTTATTGCATTTTTTATTTTACAATTTGGAACAGATTTTTGATAAATAGTGTTTCTGTTTGACAAAAACAAATTCATGATTTAAATTCTTCAACAATTCCTGCTTCTAACTATAACTATGAAGACTCTGAAATTTTACATTCTTAATTTCCTAAAATTAAGTAAATGGGGGTAACATGTATAAAAATAAAATTGCCAAGGTTTTCTAAAAGAATATTTCAAGAATAATTTCATTCATTTGTGAATAAATCAAATTTCATTAAAATCTAACAATTATTTCATTTTTTTTTTTTTTTTTTTTTTTTTTGAGATTCTCAAAACCATGTAAAAAAAAAAAAAAAAAGATGCTAAATTTAGCATTCCATACTAATCTTTTGGTCACCTGCTGACCAAAAAAAAAAAAAAAAAAGATTTATAACTAAAATTTTGGACGTGCTGGAAAGTATTAAAAAATTTAATAAAATAATCAAAAAATACTTTGGTCTTTCCTCTTTATAATAAACATTTTGATGATAACACTGTTTTTATCAAGTTTGGAGCCTTTTTCATCATGCCCTGCTGTTTTTTAGAAAGTTTTTGGAGGGAACTATTTTATATTCATAATTTTCTCTTAAAATAAGAGGAATTAACTTTGAACAAAGAATGATGGCATTTTGATTAGTAGTCAGTTTCTGCTTTTTTTCCTCCATTTGTAATATTGAAGTGACTCAGTTGCATTAGAAATTATTGAAATACAAAAAGATATTTTTTTAGGGGGAATAAATTATTTTCTCTGGCTTATTTTTCATTTTTATTTCATATTTATGTAACCAAGTTAGTAAAAACAGTTTGTATTTATGTGGGGTTTGCAGTCAAATTCTAGACTTCAATCAGTTTTTTAATTCCAAACAGTCACCCCACTTATTAGAAATGTTTTCTTTTTCATATGGAAAGCTTAAATAGACTTAGAGTAAATTTCTTGCATTATTTAATATTTTTTATATTGCTTTTAATTTACTGGGCACATCAAATGGCTGACTAGAATTTGTGTTTATTGATATGCTTGAAATCTTTTTGTCATCTTCAGGAGGAGACATTGGCGCTAAAGCTAAGCTTTTGGAAAATAAGAATAGACTCCAAAATTTCCAAGGTATTTATTTGCCAAGTCAGTTGAATAAGTGAAATTGAGCCAACAGTTGATGTCGTCAGTAGTTAATGTTGTCAGTAGTTCAGTAGTTAATGTTAGAACCCTTCATTATTTTTTTTATTTTTTTTTTAATATTTTTTTTTATTGATTTGAAATCTTTTGTCATCTTGTTAGTTTACTGTTGTCTGTCTTCCTTTGTGATTAACTTGTTTAAAAAAAAGTGTTTTTAATATAATGCTATTAGTCATGTAATGTATGTGCACAAATATCTAAACTGGTGGATAAACACATTGCTTATGCTCTTTGAAAGGTTAAAAATGTCATTTCTTTTATGTAGGTACCTCCACGAGATCGCTAAAAAAAGAGCATAGCATGATGAAAAAGATGCCAAACTTGACGAAAAACAAAATTTTATCGTCTAAATGTTTGTTATTATTAAGAGGAAAGGCCAAAGTATTTTTGGGGTATTTTTTTTTCCATTTTTAATCGTTCCTAGCACGCCTGAAATTTTCGTTAAAAATCTATTTTTTTTTTTGAGTCAGCAAAATTGACCATTTTTTTCCATTTAAAAAAAATGGAAATCTGACTTTGAAATTTTTTTAAATATCAATTATCATTTTTCAAAACTTATTTTAAGAAAATCAGAAATTATAATGTTTATTTAAAATATTTTGAACCAAACTTAACTTAGCTTTTTGTGCCAAAAAGATGTAATTTGAAAATAAAACAAAGCAGGTCATAAACTTTCGCGTCTCTTGACATGTGATGAATATATTTACGAATTCCATGAGGCTAATTTGTTCTACGGAAGGAGAAAAGTGAAATAATTTACATTTACGTGAACAAATTATTTACCCCGTTATTTTTAACTAAAACTTTCAGGGTCTAATTTTTTTTTTTGTACTTAGCTTTCACCTTTACGTTTATGATGCTTTATGGGAAATATATTGTAAAGAAATGAAAATAAAACTGTTAAGAGTGACATTAAATTTCATATTTCTTAAGAAAGGTATCTAATTAATTTATAGGTACCTTTCTTATGAAATTTTATCAGAATTGTACATAAAATACTATAATTTTATGTACATTTATTACATTCTATTGTTATTTGTATTTGCATTCATTTTATTATTAATTTTGATATTTCATTTATGGAAAATGTCGTAACTGAGATTAATATAAAAATAAGATCATATAAATTTCATAAGATGATACTGATACTTGTAGGTAACCTTCTCAGTTGAAATTGAAAAATCAAATTAACTTCTCCACACGTGTTTCGCGTGAAAAAGTAAAAGGCCTTAACAGCGGAGAACAATGCTTAACTCAAATAACGCCAACTTAATTATATTCTGGTTGGTCTTCCTTATTTTTTAATTACAGCTCGATTGTAAGCACAGAATTACATTTCTTAATTACTTGGGTTCTTCTGATTAGTCAAAATGATACAATTTACAACGCGCTTAAAAAAAAGATCTATCTCATAAGGACACTTATGAAAGCCTGTATGCTTTTTTATCTAATTTTATAATATTTTAACAACTTAAATGTAAAAATCTATTATAATTAATGAAATAACAAATAATTGTATTAAAATTCATTTTTCATCGAAAAATTTTTTTGCTTTCAGAAAATATTGTCCATATTCATAAAAACAACTAAAAGCAAATAAAAGCATTTGAATTAAATAATATCTTTGTTTTATTGAGTTTTGTATGTTACAATTCAGAGCTGATATTCAGGTACTGCGTATCCAATTAAAAAAAAAAAAAAACATGATTTGCATTCCTCAAAGCCCTGTGCTTTTAATTATTGTAATCACTAAAACAAATGCGATCGAATTTCTAGCGTTTTCATAAAATTAGTTGGGGGGGTAATAAATATTTAAAAAAATATTTCTACCATGACTTTCATAAAAAAAAACATATTTATAATAATTTCGATAATCTGTGAATAGTTCCTGAATGTTTCATTAACATCCGATAATTATTTCTATTTTTGCATGATTTTTTCAAATTAATGTGTGTCATACCAAAAAAACGTGCTAAAAATTGTCTATGTTATTTACTAGTTCCGCTGATACAAATCGAAAAAAAAAAGGTTTTTTAATCAAAATTTAGAATGTTCTAAAAAGAAGGAAAATTTTTAAAAATAATTAAAAAAAAACTCTGGTCTTTCCTCTTAATAATAACATAAGCATTTAGACAATAAAATTTAGTTTTCGGCAAGGTTGGCGTCTTTTTATCAAGCTATGCTCTTCTTTTAGCGATTTCGTGGAGGTACCTACTTCTATGGAAATGTTGCTGCCATCAATATTGAAATAATTTTCACAAATAGAAAACAATAACTAGTGTGTGTGTGTGTGTATATATATATATATATATATATATATACACACACACACACACACAATCACTTTTCTCTGAAAGTAAAGCCTCCTATTTTATGTTGGTTTATGGCAGTTGACATTGAACCATTTTTCAATAACCTATATATAATTTTTTTTTGCCTTGTCTAGCAAAATGACGTCTGACATGAAAGTGCATATGGAAACATAGGTGTATCATTGAGTTTCTCTATGTGAAAAAAACTTGTGCCAATTGATATTCGTTGACAATTGCTAAATGTTTATGGTGATCAAACTGGATATGAGCACATGTGGTGGGCAGTGTGTTGCAATGTGTGTGTGTATGAGAGAAGGAGAGAGACAGACATAAGCCATTTTTTCAAGAGTGGAATTCAGACTTTTTTTTAATGGTGACTATATGGAAAACTAGTGTTTTTGTAGCTGAAATCTTGCTCTCTCCCACAATATTATTGTGCTGTCTGTCGTGGTTTTCATCTATATAAATAGGATGTATTACTCTCCCCAACCTCACAATTTTCTTATTTCACTTAGTTTAAGTTTGTGATCATTTGAAGTCAAATTGCTGAAATATGAACATTAGAATATGATAAAAAATACCTTTTAGCTTTAAGAATGTTTTCATCAATTTTGCTATATATGGTCTTCAAAACCTGCATTTGGTTTTGAGTCAACTGTAAAGATGACCACTTCTACTGTTCTTGCCTCCATAAAAAAAAAGAATTGTGAATTTCTAAAGACATAAAAAAAAAAAAATCAAAATCTTTCTTGTTCTTTTTATACAGCAGCTCAAAGTAAACCTAAAAAGAAAATTTATTTGGTTTCGTCAAAAGGTAAAACGTTGCATATTGTACTAATTTTGAAGAATCTGAAAATTTTAACTATTTGAAAATATTTTTACATTGTCCTTATAAACTGCTTACATGCAAATGAGAACTTTTTATTGTTTACTTTTCTGTTTTTCTCTTACACCTTTTTTTTCTATTATTGTACTAAATATTAAGTGGTCAATTTTTAATTGTTTACTTTTCTGTTTTTCTCTTACACCTTTTTTCTATTATTGTACTAAATATTAAGCGGTCAATTTTTTTCACTAGAATGAAGCATTGGTTTTGCAAAAACCAATGCTTCATTTAAGTGTTGAATAAGTATTCCAAAAAAATCTTAAATTTCACTGCTAATTCCTTTCTTGAAAATTATTTAATCATGCACATTTTTCAGTTGGATTTTGCTTTCAAATTATCCAGTTGCAGTTACTTTTGTTAAATAAAACAGTTGTTGAGGAAAATTTTATTGCATTTTTACATTCACTTCAAATAAAATATGTAGAATATTATTGGAACAAAACTTGAAGACAAAAACAGTGTTACTTGTAAATATTCAAGAAAGTATCTGGTACTTTTTCATTTGGAAAAAATTATGATTTAGATACAATAAAGATAAAAAAACATGATACTAATTATGATTTGGTAGAGTTGACCTAAGTGACCCACTTGAATATGTTTTTACTATTTCTCTTGGATGTATAAAAAAAAAATTATTGAGGTAAGTATATACATTAATTTCAGTTATGATTTAAAATTGTCCAGTGTTTGTGCCATTCCTTAAAGATTCATGTAAGAAAATCTTTTGTGTAATACTATTAATTATATATTGCTATTTTTTTCAGTTTTTTTCTTGTGTAATCATGTTATTATTTTTGATACTTTTTACATTCTCTGTTAATTTATGCATTAAAAATCACAATGGAATCCTCTTATTGGAACAGTGTTTACATAATTATAGAAATAACCACAATTGTTGTCATGTGAATGTAATTATTTGAAAGCTCTTGTAATTTTACTGAATAATTTAATTCATAATGACAACTCTTTTATCATCCGTGTGATTGTCGTAAAGAGGAGATAACTTTTTTTCACTCTAGAGTAGCATTTTCAACCAGCATGTCTGGATGTACTAATGCACCATGAAAGGTAGCCAGGTACGCTACAAATTAATAGAAGAGTAATTTATGAATTATTTTTATGTTTAAAAAAAATCATTACTTTTAAAAACTAAAGACATCAAACGTGGCTTTCATGTCTAAATTAAGTCTTTGTCATTTGATATTTTAAACTGCATGCTAAATTCTTTAATCTTTCAATAATAGATAAAATATTAAATGTATTGATGAGAGTATAAGGCCAAAGAACATTAAGTACAGTTTTCACACAAGCCTACTTAAATATACAATGTCTTAAAAATAAATGCTTATTTCAGGAGTCATCTTTTATTATTTTTCTATTTCATGACTTTTTTTTATTAAAATTTAAAGCACACCCCAAATTTTAGTTACTCTACAAGTGCTCTCTGAAGTAGAAACAAAAAAAATCAAGGGCAATCTTGGACTTTAATGCCTGTGTATAAACAAAAATAAAAAAACAAAACAAAAAAACAAAACAAAAAAAAAACATCCTTTTGACACTTTTTGGTGTCAAAAGAAAGTTGTTTTGCTTTTTTTTTAGTTGTTTTGTTTTTTTTTAGTTTTGTTTTTTTTTTTAGTTTTGTTTCTCCACTTCCATTGACACCAACCTCCAATAAATGATAAAATAAATGTAAAAAAAAAAACAATTTAATAAGTAAATAGTATTTATTATTTTTGTTGTCAATTCTCAAGAACAAAAAAAATACATAAATTCACTTTCATCATATGTTTAGGAGGTTTTATTAAAATTCTAATCCTCGCTTTTTTAAAACAATAAACATTGCCAAGGAGTGAAGGTAGTTAAAATAATAGCAGTGTCAAGGGAAAAACTGTCCTTTTGACACTTTTTGTGGGTATGAAGGTCCAACATTGCCAGCTTGAGAAACCCTGCTTTAGAGAATGACATTTCCAATATCTATGTTTATAAGAAAAGAAGTTTTTTTTTTTTTGTTTTGTTTTTTTTTTGTTTTCTTGCCAACTTTGGGTTGGCAAATGTTTTATCCTGATTGAGGAATATTTTTTTTTTTGTTTTTCTCTCTTTAGCCTCTGAAACTCGAAAGAAAGCAACACCATCGCGGAAAATAGATTGCCGTCGAAAACTGATGAACCGTGAAGATTGTTTCAGTGCTCCTTCTGAGTCCTTCCTTAAGGAATTTGATTTTGAGAAGAACTTGGCACTTTTTGATAAAAAAGCATTCTTTCAGGAAATGGAAAACTCATTGCCAGAGGTGATACGAGCCAATGATAGAAAACAGCCTTCAAAATATCGACACGATGAAAATATCCTAGAGTCTGGTCCTGTTGTTCTATGTAAGATAAAAGTACCTTGTTTTTCAGACAAGGAATATGTTACTGGTGAGTTAAAGACTTATTATTTCAATACAAATTCTTCTCTTGGTTTTTTTATTTTTCAAGAAGATCTAGAAATAAAATTCTGTTTAAAATTTAATTTTGACAATCACTTTTTCTGATTGCTCCAATATGAAATTTTATTACTTTAGGGCTTATATATTAATATCGAGATATGGTTAAATTTTAATTTTTCAAACTTGTTCTCTATATTTTTCATTGTTATACATTGTTAGTGTAGTAGCTTGCCTAAGGACGATAATGGGCATGTCCCCATTCACATAAATACAGTAGTAAATACTGTATGTTGATCTGCAGTTGGAGATTCATTGTGGAATTCACTTGACACACTTCTAGCAGTTGACTACTATGCGCTGCTTGTGAATGCTGCTGTCTAATCTTATTTGTGCTGTTCTTGTCCTAAGTATTATCATTCAGTACCAATCTTTGTGTGATTATTCTATTCTATTCAGTAACCTTCCCTAGGTTACAACAGTTAGGATTTTGATGATTTATGTAATGAATGAAATTTAAATTCACTCTTTTTTTTTTTTTTTTTTTCTTAACTTCATATTTTACATATTTAAGAATTTTTTTTTTACGTGCTTAACGCTTTAGGTACTTAAGAATTGGATGAAAGTTTGTAAATATTTTCAAAAAACTATATAATACTTACTGTTCCATATTCACTTATTTATATCCTTCGTGTTATGCCCTTTAGGTAAATCAACCTAAGGTAATAAATTTATGGGTGGTTATTTTCTGTAGTCATTTTTATAATCTGTACAATTAAAATATTTATCTTTTATTTCGACAAAAATTAGTTCCCAAACAAAATGAATTGTTCAAGTAATCTGTTCCCCTTAATACTACATTTCTAAGCAGGCAGTCTTATTTGTTCAAGCCTTTCTTCTGAGGAGACTGTAACTTTCTGACATCCTAGGTAAGACTATAAACTACATCCAGCAGCAAGAACTCTGATCAGGAGGTTTTGAGGAGCGTGGAATCACCTCTTAATTGCTTGTGTTCCCAGGTCCACCCTGACCTGTTGTGGTAGCACCTGTTAGGTTCCCAGCTATGGGTAAATAATTAACCCCCAAACTGGGGTCAAAAACACTATGAAAGTGTAAAAATAGGTTTTAATACCAGAAATACTTTCTAAAAAAAAATATTGCCAGCAACACATTTTTGAAAAAAAGAAGAAAAAAATTATCAGCAAGGTTTGTATTTTAGAAAAATTGATTTTACTATTTCTTTTTCAGTTTTTATTTTTATCTAAACATTTTTCTTCTATTATTTATACAATAAGATTTTAATAAATCCTAAAACAGTTTTATTAAGCATAAACTGGGGTTATTCAGTTTAGTAAATATATGTAAAATTTCATAAAACACATCTCCTGCTTTCTGTGTTATGAATTTTAATAGAAAACAAAATTTACAAATCCCAAATATTCCTTATTTGTGCATTGAAATGAAATACCTTTTAAGAAACATCTTTTAGCTAAAAGATGATGCTTTATATCAAAGCACAAACTAAAATCACAAATCCATGATTAAACGCCATTATTTGATCTTTGTTTCTTTTTTTATTTTCTTTCTTTAGATTCTGGTCTTATTGTTCCTTGTATTTCTTATGATTTACGATCACGTTTATTCTCTACTGCTGAAGAATTTGGGTTTTCCAAGTCGAGACGCTTGGAGACTGTTGGCAGATCAACCACTGAAATGATATTACAACTTGTTGGAGGCAGCCACAGGTCAGATGCCCTTATTTGTCAATATTGTCTTTCATCAAATGATATAGATTTACATGATCATATTGTTATTTCTTTGTTTTATTTAACAGTATGTTTTATTTTCAGTTTGTGATTTAACTAATATATTTGATCTTCAATAAGAAAATCACAAGGTTCCTATACTAAATATATATACTTTTGCTAAGGGCACCTTGGTGTGGTGTAATGGTTAGCAAGCTTTTCTTGCTAAAACAGTTACAACTGAATAGTGAGTTTGATCCTCACTGGGTACCCCATACTTTTGGTCTTGTGCCACGTCTAAGCTATGCTTAGAAAATCAATATATACTTTTGATATCATTTATCTTTATTGTCAGATTCCAATCCATATTTGATCCCAACCTGTATATACTTTTATATAACAAATTTAAACTTTAATGTTTCACTTTTTATTGTCTAAACGAGACTTTACCATATTTGTGCCATTCTTCTTTAGAGAACTCTAACTGGAGGAATGATGGGGTTCTTGTATTTCTAAAAAAAATTTTTTTTTTTTTTTTTTAAATTTTATTTAACTGTTCATTTCAGGTTAAATCCCAAGAATGACCACCAGTTGCCTACAATTGTGGCTCTTTGTGGTCCTCACATTCAAGGAGCTCAGGGAATTACCTGTGCTCGTCTTTTAGCCAATCATAATGTAAAAACTTTTGTCTATGTGCCAAACTTTGTGAAAATGGACCATTATGTTGAAGAAGAATTATTATTATATGATCTCACTGATGGGCAGAAAACTTCTTGTGCTCGAGGTAAGAAATTGGAATCATTCCCTTTAGCTTCTAATAAATCAATAATCTTGTTTACTAAAAGTTTTAAAATTATTAAAGTTTACATTAGAGATGATTATCAATTTAAATCCTTATTGTCTATGATCTCTTTATTTTTTCTTTTCCTAGTGCATTTCATGTCTAACTTCACTTAAATGTAGTTATTGATGCAATGTCTTAATCCTCAGACATTATTGATGCAATGTCTTAATCCTCAGACATTATTGATGCAATGTCTTAATCCTCAGACATTATTGATGCAATGTCTTAATCCTCAGACATTATTGATGCAATGTCTTAATCCTCAGACATTATTGATGCAATGTCTTAATCCTCAGACATTATTGATGCAATGTCTTAATCCTCAGACATTATTGATGCAATGTCTTAATCCTCAGACATTATTGATGCAATGTCTTAATCCTCAGACATTATTGATGCAATGTCTTAATCCTCAGACATTATTGATGCAATGTCTTAATCCTCAGACATTATTGATGCAATGTCTTAATCCTCAGACATTATTGATGCAATGTCTTAATCCTCAGACATTATTGATACAAAACATTAAGTGAAAAATAAAAATGAAAAGAAAATATTTTAACTTGCAAAAATTGTTTGTTTTGTTGCTTAAAATTTTTGTATTAAGTGATTTTTATACTTTTTGTCCTGGCTTGTTTATTTTGATTCTTAGAAAAGTAATTGTTTGTTACTTTCAGATTTACCAAAAGGAACTGTTGATATAATCATTAATGCTTTGGACAATCATGAGAACATGGTTCTCAGGGACCAATCATGGTATAGGACCTTGGTAGAGTGGGCCAACAACAGCAAAGCCCCAGTCTTGGCTATTGACCCTCCACAGCAAGGGAGTCTAATTCAAGCCAAATGGTGCCTCAGTCTGTGTCTTCCACTCAACCTCAGGGAACAATGTGGACAGGTGTATCTGTGTGATCTCGGATTACCACGTCAGGTTATGGCCCAAGTGGGCATCACATACTCTTCTCCTTTTGGGCATAAGTTCCTTATTCCACTTCATACTAAGAGCTAGGCTGCTATAGAAACATTGGAGTATAAAGACCTAAGAGCAGCAGGGAAAGGAATCGTTTAGGAAAGAAGCAGTGGAATTTGTTCATGGTGGTGATGACAGTAGTAGCATCAGCTTCAGCTACTTGCAGCAGTGATAGCAACAGCAACAGTTATTGCTTTTCCGATCTCAGGATGTTGCTGTTTTGTTATATACAAGACTGGCTTCCAAAAAAAAAAAAAAAATTCTAGTTTGTCATCTACTTCCATTGTTGTAATGCATTGTTGATATTTAGGAAGGAGCTACATTTTGGCTGAATCAATAACATTTCTATTTATACTCTGTTTCAGTCCTACAAAGTCTGTATTGATCTGAGCTCAACTCTGATTGCATTAGGAAAAGGATAAAAAATTATATGCTACTGGGTAATTCAAAGATACCCCTAGCCATTGAGGACAAAACGTGTGTGTTTGTGCGCGCGCACACAAATATATGTACACACAGTTTTTGTGTGTGTTGATATGATTAAATGTATAATTTCTAGTGAGAGATTTGAAGGAAAAACAAAATGAATGACCTACTTTGCTTGTAGGTTGTCAAAAGGATATTTTATCATTAGCTAGCAAATTGTATGATGTATATTGAAAAAGCGCAAAAAAAAGTCTTTTATTTCCTTTGCATTCTCTCTCAAAAAACACAAAAAAAAGACTTGACAAAAAAAAATTTTTTTGTTGCTATTGCAGCAATAACTTGATTTATATTCTATACATGTTGATGTATGTGTACTTCATTTACTTACCAATTATATCTATCTAGATTCAAACATCTGTTTGACTTCAAAACTCCACACACATCCTTTCTTGCATATCTTTTGAACAACATTGCATACATCATTTTATATTCTTAGCTACATACACACTTACATGCCTGTCTACACTCTTGCAGGCTTATTCGCTTACATACATACTTAGATATCTACACGAGTGCATAGACATACATTTACTACTAAACTTCCAATGTAATTAATAAGTAGATCTGGGTACTTGTATGCATGCCTGCCTGTCTACTTGCCTACCTATGTCCATGTTTAACTTTTGACACCAATGTCATCTCAATAGAAACACACACACAAACATCGTGTACTGCTATCTTTCAACAAAATTCCAGGCACATACATACATCCACACATATACACAGTGTAACTTGTCATGTGTACAACTAAAATGCTGCCTCTTACAGTTAAATAATGTACATACTGAAATTTTAACAAAAAAGGGAAAATGATTACAATTCTTAATTTCATTTATCTTTTAAAAAAAAAAAAAAAAATTTATTTTTTTAAATAAAAATTGATTTTTGCTTTGATCAGAGTATAAAAAATATATAAGATTAATAAACCTTTCCAGAAAGGATAGATTTAATGGCCAAAACTATACAATAATAAAGATTTTAAAACTCTAATGAGCCCACTCCAAAATCCAAAACTGAACACCGACCACCCACCCACCCCATGACCCAGTCTCCCAAAGATCCCAAATTAAAAATTTTAATCACTTCTTCTCCTCTCAGAACCCAAGCCCTAATGAACCCTACCAGAATCCTGAAAGCCCTGAGAATCACAAACTGAAAGTTCAAATGACCTCCTCTCCAGCCACTCTTTTAGGCTGGTTTTAATAGACAAATTTTGGAAGCAATATTTTATTGGCATTGTTATTTTGTCTGCTTGGAACTTTGATTTTTTTTTTTTTTTTTTTTTTTTGTTTAAATTTTAAAAACAATTTATTTGCTAAATGAAAAAGTGTTTTTTTTTTTTTTTTTTTATTGCTACCACTTTTTACTAAAGCAGAAATTTTTATTTCTGCTTTCAATCACCAAGATCATCCAGAAATGATAGTTGTTATTCTCTTGTTGATGTTTTTTTTTTCCCTGCTTTTATTGATCTTGGACACAAACTGTTTTTTTTTTTTCTTGGGAATGCAAAGCATCCAGAATTTAAAAAAAAATATTTTTATTCTATAAAAAAAAAAAAAAAAAATAAAACTTTTTTTCTTTTTAAATTTAAAATTCAAAAATCTCATTTATTTGAGGAGCCTTTTTTCCATTTTTTTTTTTTTTTTTTTTTATTTTATTTACATCAGCTTTCATCTTTATCTTGTTCTGTCTTTTATATCATTTCTTTTGAAAAGAAGAAATATATTTTTTGCTTGACAGTAAACATGTAAAGTTAGATGTAAAACCCTTGTTTTCAGTTTCTCTCTTGGAATATTTCTTAAGATTTAAAAAAAAATGGGTGATTGACTACAATAAAACAGATCTATCAAATTGCAACAAGTTAAAACATTAAGGCATTACAATGTAAAGAGGGGGGTATCCTGAGAATTCATTGTAGACAATAATTGTCACCTTTCAAATGCTACCTTCTGATAGCTGCAGTATTTGATCAGTCTGTTAGGGTTGGGTAGGGGAGCAGACTTCAGGTAAGTCTACTCAGATTGTGTGTGTGTGTAAATATGTTAAGGGACAAGGATATACCTTTCCGATACATGTGTTTTATATGCATTTCAATTTCATGTAGCATGCCCATCTACTTCTTAGCTACCTATTGATGTGATCCCTAATTTTGTGCAGGTCTTTCATACAGCTACTACAAACCTTTGATGCTATTATCCTTAAAACCTATCTATCCATTAGATTTATCTCAAGGCAGATGGTATAGATTTTTTTTTTTTTATACTGAAGATATCCTTTTTTCTCATCAAAACTTTAGGCAAGTTTTTATGCTAAGTTATGTGTATTTCTAAAGTCAGCTGTAATTAAACGTATCAATTTAGCCTACTTCATTATCTTTTTCAGTTATTATCATTTCCTTTTATTTAAAGTCATTGTGCTCAGATAATTATGACTTGTTCTATCTATATGGTAAATATTGTCTGCTTTGATATCATTGGATACATTTCTTTATCAACTTAATTCTCTAAGCTTGTAGTTGATGTTAGTCTGACAAAAGTTGAATATTTTTGTTCTTTCATCAGTTTCTGTGTAAACAATTCAGTTTGAGAGCCTTTTTCTTTTGAATGCATCTTTGAAATTCTGTCTTGTGTAATGATCTTATAACTTCAGACCTGTTAAATGCTATCTATTCTCTGTTGCAAGTCTGAGTATTGTGTGGCGTGTGTATAGCTTTTGTTATCTTCAAAGTCCTGGTCAAACGTAGTGTTAAGAGTTTTTGATTCTGTGAAGGTTGAAGATACATCAGCTTCATAAAACAACAAAGGAAAAAAAAAAAAATTCTTATTTGGTCCTCTGTCACTTCAAAGTTTTCTCTGGTTTGTTTCACCTGTGGGATGTAAGACAAGTAAAAGAGGTATTTATGCTACTTGACATTTGATTTGTGAATGGAACAAAAATTATGGGATATATGTAAATACAATTTGATGTACATAAGTGCTTTTGTACATAGTGTTTGTAAGACTGGACATGTTGAAAAAGACATCCAGTCTGATGAGAATTTTGAGTTGATGTTTGCAAGAAAGGAAGGGAATTCATGTGACTTAAATAAGTCTATGAAAAAATTTAAAAAAAATGGATGAATCTCTACCTCTTCTCTATTCTTGCATGTATATCTTTATATAAGCACATACAAGTGTGTGTGTCTGTATATATGCACATACGTGTCTCCCTCTCTCTCATATATAAAATGTGTGTGTGCGTGCATGTGTATGTATATATACACACACACACACACACACATATGTGCACACACACACACACATATATATATATATATATGTGTGTGTTTGTGTCTGTCTATGCACATACAAGTTCTGTTTGTATATAAAGTGTATGCAGAAATGAATGAATGAATGAATGTATGTATGTATGTATGTATTTACATACAAGACGCATGTTAAATGGCATACATGTATGAACACTAGTTTTTTTTTTAAATACTCCCCCCCCCAATAACTTCATGCCCACGTTGGTTACTTTAGAAGATTTTCTTGATTCTATTGTTTTCTTCTCTTTTAATTATGCTGCCATGTATTAGTAAGTTGTGGTCTACCAGATTGTTGGTTGTGCCACCAAGGTCATACATGAGTTGCTGATGAGTTTCAGCAAAATGAAAAAAAGTTGAAAACCAATTGAAATTTTAATCTTTTTTAATATAAACTTCAATGACACTTTTTTTTCCCCATATTTTTTTTTTTTTTTCTATAAAACTGTGTTATTTTGAAACCAGTATTTCAGCTGATAGATTACCCAACTCCGTCGAATATTTCTAAGTCCTTTTAAGAACAAACACAAATAAAATCAAAGCTAATAAAAAATAAACAATACTGGATTCTGTTGAATAACCAGAGTTATTTTTTTTATTTTTTATTTTTTTTTTTTTTTTAAACATTTTCATTTTGAAAGTTTATTTAAAAGTATTTAAACAACATTTTTAATATGTAGAATTGTTTTGTATTTGTATTTCATGATAATTGATTTTTTTAATCTCAAAATTTATTTTTTCATATATTTTTTGTCCAATTTCTCATTTTGTGTTGTTTTATAGAAAACTTTCAACTTAAATGTTTTTAAGAATTTTAGTTTTTAAATTTAACACAGATTTTTACTTCATTAAAAAAAATTAGGTTTTCCCACTAGTTATGTTTATAAAGAAATAGTAATTAAGTCATTTTTTTTTATTTACAATTTTTTTTTTTTTTTTTTACTTAGAATTTTTTTTTTTTTTTTTTAACTGTTTAAAATTGTAAACATTTGTTCTTTATCTGATGGACTTTATTTTTTAATTTAAAATGAATTTGGAATTTTTTTAGAACTTTTGTAATTATTATTTTACTAATTGTACTTAAGATTCTTGGAAAAGTTGAATTTGATTTTTCAAGAGTTATCAAAAATTTTATATATTTTTAAAACTATTAAACTTTAAGAGAAATAGTCTACACTCTTTAAAATCTGAATTTCATAAACCTATCAATCCTTTTGCTTTTTATCAAAATTTATTTTGATGCCAATTT